GGGCTGGGCTGGGCTGGTTGGGCTGGGCTAGGTGGGTGGGTTGGGTGGGCTTGGCTGGGCGGGGCTGGTGTAGGCTGGTGGGTTTGAAACGGAAATTGGTGTATGAGAAAATGCAAAGGTTGTACCAAACCGAAAAGAAATAGGTTTCCGGATGTCCAACAGCAACAAGCAATTTCTATTTATTTCTTTCTTGAGGGTTAAGGGTTTAGGGCTCCCTTCAGAGGAAGCCTCTTCTGATTCAAGGGCTCGATTGCGAGTTTAGGGCAGTGCCAGGGCGTACAGTTTGGTTTCGAGTTCACCGACTTCCCTCTGCAACGCCAGCAGCGACTGCACGTGGCCAGGACCCTGAAGTGCCAGAGCAGATGAACCCTGAAGGCTAAGCAACAGATATTCCTGTCAGATCCCATGCTGGTATGAGTAGTTCTCTAAGTTAGGGTCCCTGTTTAGGTCCCCAATATAGTACGGCACCCTTATAAAAAGGACCCTAACAGGGACCTAATTTAGACAACTACCCCTGTAAAAAAAACGACGAAGACCTGCAAAACGCGTGAACATGTTCATACCCAGTTAACAGTTTCAGGGCCCTGAACCCTACACCCTGAACCCTAAACCCTAAACCCTAAACCCTGAATCACAGCATCCTTATTACACCCGCTCCCGGAATCCACAAGACTGCTTTTATCCGCTCCTAATCATAAAGGCACCGAATGCCTCAAACCCTGAAGAACACCCTAAATGCCGAGCTGAGACCCTAAACTCAAGAAGCTAAAAACTCCACATCTTAAAACTTTAAAGCCCCAGCCCCTAAACCGGAAAATCCCCAGACCCCTAAACCCTAAACCCTAAACCCTAAACTCCTGAAACACTAAACCCCAAACTCGTAACTCCAAGCCCCAAACCGCGCAAATCAGGCCCTATAAACCTTAAACCCCTATTGAATCCTACACCCTAAACCCTAAAACCCTAAAACCCTAAAACCCCAAAACCTAAACCCCAAACCCTAAACCTCTAAACCCTAAACCCCCAAACCCGAACGAAACCCCAAAACAAAAAATCCGAAAGACCACCCGGCCTCGCAGTCTTTGAATGGGAAGCGCCCCTCCTTCGCAGGGCGGCAAGCCCCGCCAGACTTCAGGTAGGCTTTCTCCTCGGCTTTAGGGTTTAGGGTTTAGGGTTTAGGGTTTAGGGAAGGCTTTCTCCTCGGCTTTAGGGTTTATAGGGTTTATAGGGCTTCTATGGTTTATTACAGGCTTATAGGGTTTCTTGAGGGTTTATAGGGTTTATAGGGCTTTTAGGGTTTATTATAGGCTTATAGGGTTTAGGGTTTAGGGTTTAGGGAAGGCTTTGAGGCTTTAAAGTTTAGGAGCTCAGGGATTTACGGGTTCAGGAGAATGGCGTAGGGTACCGTCAAGCCCTGAATCGGAATCTGGACTTTGGCGACTGCCAACAACAGTGGTTGTGATTTACGAACCTCAACCATTTCAATAGGGCTTCAGGGTTCAGACTTGGTATAGGAGCCGACACAACTAGAGTAGGGCTTTGGGCATATTTTAGTATGATAATACGGAGACTTCAAGGGTACAGGTATAATAAGACCAAACATATGGGTGGTTGTCAAAATTAGGGTCCCTTTTGGGGTACCCTAAATAATAGGTGCCGTATTATAGTAAGGACCCAAAAAAGGACCATAATTTTGACAACCACCCATATACACCCTTGCAGTGGGGCGTCGGGTGTGGAAGATTGCGTTTCGACCAAAACTGTTTCAGGGTCTGTTACTTTGGGTTTAGGGTTTACGGTTCACGGTAAAGCGATGCTTAGCAAAAAAACTCCTTCCCTCCTTCCCTTCGTAGCGATTCTAACGGTGATCCTACAGTCAGGATCCCAGAAGCCTTCGTGACATTAACCCGGGGCGGGAAGAGATTGAGCCGTCCTAGAGAAAGACCGGGTCCTTGTTATGGTTTAAAGCCCTAAATTAGGGCACCTTGAATTAAAGCCCTTAGCAAAGAGTGGTAAAGGAAGAGGTTCAGGTTGCAGGATCACGGCTCGGGGAAACGATGTTAATGCTGAAGGCAAGGGGGTTTAGAGTTCAGGGTTTCGGGTTTCGGGTTTAGGGTTGAAGGGTTGGGGTTTAGAGGTTTAGGGTTCAGGGTTTAGGGTGTCCTCCTATACTGCACTTGGCAAGCTCAACTGGAAAGGACTGACCAGCCTGGCATGCACCTGCTGAGGGAAGCTACATCAAACGAAGGCGAAGTACTGTGCTTAGGGGTTTAGGGGTTTAGGGCTTTAGGGGTTTAGGGGTTTAGGGGTTTAGGGGTTTAGGGGTTGCGGGGTTGAGGGGTTGAGGGGTTGAGGGGTTTTTAGGGTTTAGGGCAGTACCAACGACGCGTAAGACCTTAACCTAAGTTGGCCCTGTAAAGCCTTTGAAAATACTCGTAGATGAGATCCTCTTGGGCCCGATAAGGGAAAATGTGAAAGGTCCCGAAGGCCTACCTAGGAACCCTAACCCCACACCCAAGTCTGATGGAAGCCAGTTTCTGATGTCTGACGCTTCAGCTTGTGCTTGCCTGGAAGACAGTCGAGGAAGGAGGGGGCAGGATGCTAAGGGTTCAGGGCGCAGGGTTCAGGCTTTAGGGTTTAGTTAGGGAACCCTAAACCCTAAGCCCTAAACCCTAAAACCTAAACCCTAAACCCAAACCAGGGTTCAGAGGTTGCGGCGCTTTTTGGTGATTTTGGGTGTTGGGTACGCCAGTAAGAGAGCCTAGCTCGAATCTGCGTGTCGTCGGCTTCAGGTTCAGGGGTTGCGGTTCAGGGTTTCAGGTTTTCACGTTCCCTGAGCCCAACTCCCCAAATCAAAACTGCTCAACCCAACTGAAACCTGGAAGCCTAACAAGGCCTCGATTCCTGCTCCCGGATAGGGTTGGGCACATGTCTACATCCAAACCCTAAACCCTAAACCCTAAACCCTAAACCCCAAAACCCCTAAACCCTAAACCCAAAACCCCTTAACCCTAAACCCCAAAACCCCCTAAACCCTAAACCCAAAACCCAAAAACCCTACACATTGAATCCTGACGCCCCTGACAATCCTCCACAAATTTACCCTCTCAGCCCTGAGCCCCCCACAAACCCTAAACCCATAAACCCCGAAACCAGGAAAACTTAAAACGCTACGAGTAAGTCCCTGGCCCTCCCAAACCCAAAACCGTCAAATTTGACACGCTACAGCAAAGCTTGCTGGCGGCATGGCCCTGAAAAAAAACATCAACCCCTCAACCAGTTCAACCCTCTCAACCGCACACCTCGAACGCATGAAACCCGTCTAGGAACCTGATGAAACCCGAAACACACCTAAACTCTAAACCCTCAACCCTAAACCCCGAAAACACAATACCCTGAACCCTAAAACCCTAAACCCTAAACCCTAAACCCCAAACCCTAAAACCCTAAACCCTTGCTGCCAGCATGGTGCAGTGGAACCCTCCTGTTTCTCCGGACAGCCACTCTGCGGGGCCTCAGGGAAGACGGTCTTTTGGGGCTTGTAGGACTTTGTGCTTAGGGCTTAAGGGTTTAGGGTTTAGGGTTTTAGCTTTAAGGGTTTGGGGTTCAGGGCTGTAAGGTTTGGAGTGTAGCCTGTGGGGCTTTAGGCTTTGGGTTTCTGCGTTTGGTGTTGGGCGCTTTGTACGATTCGTATATGCCTATGTGAGAACTTTTGCAGTGTGGGGGACGGGGGGGGTGTTGTGTTGAAGGTTTTTGTTTGGGACATAGGATTCGGGCTTTAGGGTTTAGGCTTTCAGGTTCTACGGGGTTTCGGGTTTAGGGTTACGCTCCTTGGGATCGGAATTGAAGTGGAGACGGCAATGTCCGAGCATTAAGAATCAAAGCCAGGCTTTGGTGCGTTTTGAGGCTTATGATAGACGAATTCTCCAGGAACTGTAAGTAAGAGAATACTGCCACTAACAGAATAATTCAAAAACCCTAAACCCTGAACCCTAAGTCCTAAACCCTACGCCCTACACCCTAAAACCTAGACCCTAAAAGCCTAAACCCTAAAAGGGCCCTGACCCTGCAACTCTTAGGCCTCAAGCAAGCTTTGTTCTGCACTTTGTCTGAAAGTGTTATTAAGGCTTTAGGGTTTAGGGTTTAGGGTTTAGGGTTTAGGGCTTACGGGGACTCCTGTTGGGGGGTCCTTAGCCTTGAAGCCTAAACCACTGAAACCTTCATTGATTAAGCTCAATTTAGGGCTTAGGGTTTACGATTTCAGGAGTTCGCGAACCCCTCGAAAACCCTAGCTTGCTCCGGGACCCGCAAACCCAGATGATGAAAGCATGAACCCCTACAAAAGCCGTCCCGTAAAGACCTGGTGAGACCCCAAAAGAGCAGTTTTAGACACTATTTAGGCACCCTCGGAAAACCCTACTTGGTGGATCATAAGTATAGTTAGCAGAATTTGGTATAGGCTTGTTCTCTAAAGTAGGGTCCTTTTTTAGGTCCCCAACATGGCACGGCACCCTTATAGAAAGGACCCCAAAAGGGGACCCTAATTTAGAGAACTACCCTTTATAACCGGTCTGGCATCACTGGTCACCTATGAGCGCCCTCCCCTCAGTCTCCCACAGCGGTGGTCTGCGCCCGCGCACGGCGGAACCTTTCTGCTGAGGATAGGGGCCTTTAGGGCTTAGCTTAGGATTTAAGTCCCTAAACCCTAAACCCTAAACCCTAAACCCGTTTAGGGCTCTGGGCTTAGAACTTCTAGGATTCTAGGGCTCAGAGTTCGGCGCGAGGGTTTTGGTGGCTTTCGGCTCCATACCCAAAAGCAGCTTCTATACTGAGGGGTCTATACAGGGTCTATGAAGGTTCTTAAGGAGTTTAGTCAGGGTTCGGATTTTTGAAAGCTTGTTTTCGGGGCTTAAGGCCATGCGGGCCTTTTGGGTTTAGGGGGGTGGAGTCGGTGTGGAGCTTGGGGGAGGTGGGGAGTTTCAGGAAAACACCCCAAACCCTAAACCCCAGCCACGACCCGAAAGGGTTTAGGGCTTAGGGGCCTATGACATCCCGCAGCCGGCAGGTGTGGCAACACTTGTCCAGATCTTCTGTTCTACGTAATCTAGGGGCTCATTGCTTGGAATAGGGTCTTGGAGTCTAAAACCCTAAGGGGAGTTTAGGGTTTAGGGTTTCGGGCTTAGGGAACCCTGACGGAAATTGGTTATAGCCTGTATAGGGATTCCGTTCTATGAAGGGTCCTGTTGAGGAAGAACCCGAATCTCTCGGCGCGATTCGATTTGGGGATCTTGTTGGTAGGTGGCTTGGAGTTTAGGGCTTAGGGCTTAGACTTTGAGTTTGCTCGTTTGGGTGTTTTGGGGTTTGGGGTTTCGGGTGTTCGAGGCATTTGGGAGTATTCTTGAAGCACGATGGTTGGGCAGAGGTTTCAAAGGTTGTGATTCAGCAAGCGGGAGGAATGACACCCAACCCCAAACGGCTTTGCATTTCAGCGCGAGATCACGGAAGCATTTCAGAATCGGGGTTGGGCAGAGGTGATGACAGGCTGTTTAAGGGTTACCACACGGCTTCTATAAGACCTACTATAAGGGTTGCTATAGTTGCTCTAGGCTTCTTGGGCACAACGTCTTTGCTAGCGAGTGTGTCGGGTTTGTGTTTTTTTTGGCCGTCGAAGCTTCACTATGGGCTTCCCTTCGGAGATTCTTGGTGCAGTTTGGGGCCAAAGATCAGGGTGCATTGAATGCTTGAGGTGTGGGGCACAACAACAACAACAACAACAACAACAACCAACACCAACCAACAACAACCAACCACAACACCAACAACAACACCAACAACAACACCAACAACAACAACAACAACAACAACAACAACAACAACAACAACAACAACAACAACAACAACAACACCAACCAACCAACCAACCAACCAACCAACCAACCA